GGCGGGGGGGGGGGGCTCACCTCCAGACCGGGCTGGGACATCAGAGGGCGGGGGCTGGACTTGACCTCTCAAGACCCCTTCCCCGCTAGGATCAGCAACAGCTTTGTGCTCCCCACAGGACCCCGGCTGCTCCCGCTCCCCTCTCAGGGCCAGGAATCAGCTGGGGTTTGGTCAGCCACTTACCCTGCCAGGCCAGCGCCCACGTTTCCCAGGTTCTGGAGCCCGCCTGACACGGTTTCCAGCACGCGCTGGATAACGTCACCGTCTTGGAGCAAGTCGACTACCGCTGCAGAGAGAGCCGGGGAGAGTGAGTCTGTGGGGAACACCCCAGCTGTGAAGCCGGGGGCACGCCCCCTGCCCTCCCCCGACTTGCTGTGGATTCTCCGGCGGGAAGGGGGTTCGGTGACAGCCACCCCCCTGGGGAAGCCCTGTGAGCTCTCTGGGGTGAAAGCGCTCAGCTCTTGTGCGCGGGGCAAACGGAGGGGCACGGTGGTTCTGAAACGTGCAGTCAGCCTGGCCCCTCCCGCCCCACGGCACCGAGCCGCATTCCAGGGACACTTACCGCTTCCTAGTGCCGCTGCGCTCACACTGGAAGACACCTGGACAGTCGCATTCTGGGCGTGAGAGGGGGCCAGCAGGCCGCACAAGAGGGCAACGGCCCAGACCTTCACCATCTTGGCTCTGGTACCTGTGAAAAGCAGCCCAGGGGATGGCTCAGGAACCAGAGCCGGGCCAGGGGTGGAGAGGGGAGAAGGGATGGGGAAAGATGCCAGTTTCGCTGGAGAAGTGGGCAGGAGGGAGGAGGGAGGAAGGCTTGACGGAGGGGCTCAGTTTAGGCAACAAGCAGACGAGCGGCAGCCGGTACCAGTGGCCAACTCCTGATCCCATTGATATTCATGGGACGACTGTGTCGGGATTGGCCCTGCTCTGGGCAAGGGGCTGGACTCGATGGCTCCTGAGGGCTCTGCCTGTCCTGGGGTTCTACGCTTGGTAAATTCACCCGGCTTCAGAGGAACGTGGACGATTTCCATAGCGGAGCCACGTGAAAGGAGCGTGAAAGGAGGAGTGTCCCTCCTCCCACTCCTACGGACCACAAAGTCCCCTTCCTCATGCCCTGGGGAGCGGCTTCTGGCCTTTCTGAACCGGCGTTGGACTGGGGCTTTTCTCCCACAAACCAGAACCTGTATCCTACAGTCGGAAGGCAGGCCCTGGTGAGCAGCACAACAGGGAATGAAACTGCCGCAAGGGAAGCTTAGGTTGGACGTTAGGGAAAAACTTCCTGCCTGTCAGGGGGGTTAAACGCCGGAATACATTGCCTGGGGGGTTGTGGAATCTCCATCCCTGGAGATATTGGACAGACACCTGTCAGGGACGGTCTAGATGGTGCTTGGTCCTGCCGTGAGGGCAGGGGACTAGACACGATGACCTCTCGAGGGCCCTTCCAGTCCTAGTGTTCTGTGAGTCTATGCTCATTACATTAATGGGAGGGCACAAACAACCTTCCTGGCAGAGACGCTAGGCAGGCGCGCCAAGCCCGATTAACCACGAGCATCTCTGAGAAATGCAGGAAATAGTCCGAGTCCTTTCTTCAGTGAATACGGGAAAGAAAAGTGCAGCAGGAACGCTTGGAAGGTTTTGGGAGCTGGAGAAATAGCCAGCGGCAGCAAGAGAGTCCCTCTCCTCAACCGGGGGACACACTAGGATTAATATTGTCTGGGGACTCGGCCTCAGCTTCTTCGCTGTTCGTTCTAGCCACACATTTCAATGGCAATGTAACCGGGCAGAGCAAAAAGCCTCAAGACCAAAATGAAGGGTCTCGTTCCCCTTGGCCCAAGCCCGCCGGCGTACGGAGCTGCTCCCGAGACGTTTTTAGTGAGAATCATTTACGCAAGCCTTGAAACGTTCTCAGCAACAGGCAAGGAGCGCACGGCTGTGCTTCCAAAGCCCTGGAGAGCAGCAAGCTCTCCTCACCCTGTATGCAATGGGAGCTTTGCTTCTCTGCAGGCTGGAGCCAAGAGAGAGCTCTTTAAAGAGGAGTGGGGGTCTTACCTTCGCTAGCTCTTGGTCACTAAGAAAGGTCTCCAGAGCTGTCCTCCTTCCCTGTGGCAGCCCCGCTGCTGGCGGCCCTTATATACCAAAAATGAGTGGCTGGAATGAGGAAAATGACATGGCTGAGAAAAATTGGGATAATGGTTTGGGTGTAACAATAGGGTACGATCTTTGTCTTCCAACGCAAATATTTCCTTCTAGATGTGAAAAGTTAGGTAAATTATTGAGCAACGTGTATCAAATGCACAGCCTGGTTCCTGGCCAGCGTTTCAGTACAGCATGCTGGGATGCTAATCCACAGGGGTTGACTGAAAGAGCCTTGCCTCTTCACTAGTCTAGTGCAGCGAGTTTTCTGCCTTCCTGCTCAGCCGAGTGTTCACATTGGGGTTAGCAGGTAGGGCTGGTTGAAAATCTGCCATAGAAACAGCTTTTGATGGAAAGGTGGGTCCTTCATTAAATGGCAAGTTTGTGTGTCTGTGTGTGTGTGCGCGCCTGCGTGTGTGTGTGTGTGTGTGCGCGCGTCACTACTTTTCTCAGAAAAATCCAATTTATAAGAAAATCCTGACACCTGAAAACCAAAAAGTTTTCTGTTTTTAGCCAAATGCCAAGGAACCATTTACATGGTAATCCAGAAATGACACCACAGAGACTTTGTGAGATTTGTAGTTCAGATACCTCATGCCCCCATCCACCTCCCAGCCAGACTACAACTCCCATGATGCCCCACAACCAAGGTCTCCCAGGACACACCATGGTGACTGAACAAGGGGGGGGGGGGGGGCTACAATGCATCCCTGGAAATGAAGCCCGGCCGGCACAGAAGCATGCAAGTGTCAGCACTTGTCCTACAGCTCTCAGGAGGTGTTGCAGCCTCATTTCCAACTTGGAAGTTTTCAGCCAAAAGTTTTTGGTTTTCGATTTGTCACCAACAAGAAAATGTTTTTTCTTACACGTCAACAAAAACAATTCTCCAGCCAGCGCTGTCCGTTTGGTTCAAGTCAGGGAAGAACAGGGAGGAGCTAGTTAGGAACGGTTAGATAGAAGAGAGGCCAAGCTACCCACATACTGACAAAATGCACACATGATTTACACATGTAGAAGTCTACTACTGGGGGGTGAACTAGAGCGTTGGCATTAAATGAGGATCTGATGTAATGGGCATCGTGAGAAGTTGGTGGACTGAGGAGAAGTGGGACAGTAATCCCAGGGTACAAGCTACACAGGAATGAACGAGCAGGCCGCAGTGGCTGGGAAGCGGCACGAGATGTGAATCAATGTGCAAAATAAAAATCCTAAAAGCATCGAACTGTACCATGGACAGAAATCACACTGGAGCAATAGGAGCATAGCCGTGGGAATATGCTACTGGCAACCTGACCAGGATGGTGACCGTGATCATAAAATGCTCAGGGAGAGCAGAGACTGAAAAGGCAGGAAATAATGGGGAATTTTGACTCTCCTGAAGCGGGTTCCAAAGAGGGTGTAGAGAGGCTGGTCTCAGTGGAGGCAGGTGGCAGAACAAGGAGCAATGATCTCAAGTTGCAGTGGGGGAGGTCTAGGTTGGATATTAGGAAAAACTATTTCCCTAGGCGGGTGGGGAAGCGCTGGGCTGGGTTCCCTAGGGAGAGGGTGGAATCTCCATCCCTAGAGGTGTTTCAGTCCTGGCTTGACAAAGGCCTGGCTGGGATAGAATCACAGAACACTAGAACCGGAAGGGCCCTCGAGACGTCATCAAGTCCAGTCCCCTGCCTCATGGCAGGACCAAGCACCATTTAGATCAACTCTGCCAGGTGTCTGTCTGACCTGCGCTTTGATGTCTCCAGTTGAGCAAATAGCTTCTCTCACACTGACGGGCACGAATACAAAGTTTAAGGTGAGATTACCCAACACGCAGGCCACTGAAGTCAGTTCTGCGATATTAATAAGATGCAATCCAGTCGTTACCCGATTTCCATCCCTAGGGCAGCACTTTTAATGAGCAATGACAGGCCCGGAATGTAACTACTAAAACGCAGCTCAGCATTCTGTTGACTCCTTGTTTGGTTTGGCTCCTGCCTGCAGGCTGCACGTTGAGCCCCGTGTAAACCCAACCTGCACCGTGGGCTGCGTGTTGAGTAGCCCTGCTCTAAAGCAGCGTTTCCCAAACTACCGGGCCGCAGGAAAAAAATACCGGGCCTCAGAGTGGTTGCCAGGGTATTCCGGGCTCCCGGAGTGCCCGTATGGCACCGGGTCCACCAAGCCTGATGTTCCAGCAGAGGCATAGCTAGGGGAGGTCGGGAGTGGGGGGGGAAGGAGGGGAGAGCCAGCCACCGGAAGCAGCACTGGACAGGGGAATCGGGGCAGGCTTTGGAGATTTGGAGCGGGGGCAGTCGGCAGGAAGC